TGACTGAAGTACTTGTCGAAATGATGTATACTATCCTTGCATCAGTCATTCACTACGTACATCTTGAATAAACTTTTCAATTTCCCTTACCCACATTGTTAAATAATCTGATCTTGTAAAGAATTATTTTTAAGGTATTAGTGAAGTTCAAAAACATGGGAGTACTACTGGACAACAGTTTTGTCTTTAACACTTCACACCGACTGCCAGGGTTCCAACCCAGGACCTTCTAGTTACAAGGCGATCTCGTAGACGTTTCCACCATTGGGACCCAGTCCAATAACTCATGGATCCCGACTACCGCGAATTCACAATGTATATATAAATAAGAGGATTCACGAAGCATTAGATCGTATCCCAGTAGCTAAATGGTCTACGGAACAGTGGGTGCGTACCGTTTGTTGAAGAGTCTCGAACTAGGAAGAAATAGCAGTCTAGTAATTCAAGGTTTCCCAGTGATTTTTTCAAAGTAACTTAGTTAAGAAGGAAAGTGACTCGAGAATATCTGAGATATTTACTTAGTAGTAATTGTATTCATTATAATTGTAAAGATGTTTATTGACAGTGGACATTTAAACTCATAGTTTATTAAAATATGAATAGATGAACCAATATGCTTTGGATAAGTAACCATTAGGCCTAATAGTGTGCGTCGGTGGCACAGCGGTAGAATGTTCATCAACCACGCATGTGGCTCAGGGTTCAATCCCAGGCTAGCACACTCATTTACCTCGCTAAGCCAGTGATAAGACTGATAAAAAGTGAAGGTTGGGCATGAAACTAGCAACCACATCCTGTAAAAATAAATATCACTGCTACTCAAACTTCAAAGCTCTAGCCTAAAGCCCTACGTTCCACTGGGAACGTAAACGAATAAAATCGGAAAATCAGGCCTAATAGTATGATAGCAGAAAATGTATAACAAGGTAAAACCTCAATAACTATGATGTTTTAGCTACTACCTTAGAGGATAATTTAGTGAGTTTGGTATATGAATTTTGGAAGGAATTATCACCAACTAGAATATAATACTCGTAAGGTAGATAAATAAATGTTTTATTTTTAACGAGAAAGGATAATAGAACAATTCACCAGTGAATTTAAAATATATTGGTAAAACCAGTCGTTGTCCGTTAGCTGAATTTCACTACTCTAAAATGGCTACCTAACGAAATAATAATAATGATTTTAACAGTTTCAAACTTTCTAAAAAGAAGATATGATCACTTCCTAACTACCAGCAGCATCAATAGCTGGAATACCAAGGACAAGTATTCATGACTTTTTGCCACAATTAATATTTACTGAATTAAATTGCTGAAGAAGAGGAAGAGACTTGGGATTGACAAGACTCAACTGAGGTTACTTTAGATATGAGAAGACAGTAGTCACAGATTGAAAGTACCACAGTTTGGAACCGTGGAACTGAATCACAAGCATTTTCGCCTTTTATTATCACTAAATCATTTCTCTGTCCTTCTAAATCCAGTTGACTTCCGCTTAGTATGCCCGCTTTGCTTCTGCCTTCTTTCATGTACCGTTTAAGTGTGACAAAGTAAACAGACATATTTCGTAATTCAATCAGAAGAGAATTTATTTTTTTAAAGTTACCTTTTTAACTTCTGTCATACTGAGATGAGTAAACTTTTGTGATGAAGAAATAATTGAATAACTGTCGTGAATTGGCAAAAGTTGGAATTCATGGATCATTGGATCGAGTCCCAGAGGCTGCTTAATGGTCTACGAGCTCTCCTTGTAACCAATAGGTCCTGGGTTCGAACCTCGGTGGGTGTGTACTGATGAAGAGTGCCAAACTAGAACGAAACAGCTGGCCAGTACTCCCTGCAGGTTTTCCAATGACCCTCTAACCGATGTAACCTCACGATAAAATCCTTTAACCAATCAATCAAATCCCTACAAATATATACTTCTATATATTACTATGTAACAACCACGTTAAATACCTAGATAACTATAAATTTTACTGTCTGATTTCACTATTTCATATACGAACAAACGAATCTGAACTTCAGAAAGGGTGTCTTTTGTTATTTCAATGTGGAACTGAACGGTGCATTAGAGAAATACACTTGAAATCTTTTTAAAAAAATGAATCTATTTGAGTCTAAACATACTGACACAAATTATGATTGGACACTAGTGTGACGTATCTAGTCCTTTCTTTGGTGCAGACTGAATTCTATCAGTCAGGTTTGCAACGTGGCCACCATTCTAGGTAGCTCGCCATCACGGTGCACATGGACTTGATGATATTAGATAGTTGGAGGCAATCGGCGGGAAGCCTTCCTGTGCCGATTGCCTCCAACTATCTAATACTGACAAATTGCCTAGATATTAAAAAATCCTTTTAGACTAGACACTTTGAAGTCATTGGTTATGACGACATACTAACTGTACGCATTTTTTCTCTTAATGTTCAGAATTTTCGACAAAAAAGAAAAACTGGTGCACACCAGCATCTTGGCAAAAAATACTAATAAAACTTAAATCATGTGATGATAAGCAATTAAACAAACAGACCACAGATAAATTTGAAAATAACAGAGGAAAGCAAAGTAAAAGCAAGGCTATGCGAATTACAGCTTGAAATATTGTCATTTACATATTTACTCTAAAAAGAAGCAAGCATAATGAATCCATCGAATTTATTCCGAAAGCAAAATGCATCTATTTAAGTTACTAGAGTTCTCGCTACAACATCATGTAAAGAAATAATAGTGAATAGAATGCGATTCTCTATCCTAATAATGAACAAAATATAATGAAAGTATAATACAATAAATGCACACGAATTAAGTGTTCACAAAATGGACATTCCGTCAATAATAGTAGATATTCACATTCATCCAACAGCCAGGGTTGCTGTACACATTTCAGATCAAAGCAACAAGTGAACACGTTACTTTGGTTGATAATGATTAACAATGGAATTCAAGATAAAAGCCTCTTTTCGGTGAATTCATTCACTTAGCTGTACAATTGCTTTTAAACATAATTGTTTTGTCTGTGCGTGTGTGTACATTAGGATTGTTAAGCAAAAAAATAACCCTTTATTAATTTTTATTTGTGTTTAGCAATCCTAATGTACACACACACAACAATTATATACATATATATATATATATATGTGAGGCGGTACAGCTAAGTGATTGAGTTTGCCAAAATCACTTCAGACAGCCCGCTGTAAACTTTTATCTACAGCCGACTTCGATGTTCTATATTAAAGATAAGATGGCCAATCAGAAAGAATTAACAAGAAACTCTGGGAACAAACCAGTCAAATACATATTACTCAAAAATATGCGAAAGGAAATGGAGATGGATTGAACACACACTGAGAAGACTGCTGAATGATATCACGCGACAGGCTGTTGCTCGATTGGAAAACAGCCGGGAAAAGACAACTTGGAGGTGGGTTCGAGGGTTATATGGAAGAGGTCGCGTGAGGAGGAGATGAGAACCTATGTGAAATCATGGGGCCAGCTGAAGAGGTTTGCAGACAATAGGGAGGAATGGAGATGTGATGGTGAAGCCATATTTTCCAACTGGAACCTAAAGGAATAATAATAATCTCATCCTACCAGGGACTCATCAGCTAGGTGTACCTGCATCATCAGTCAGTGATGATATTCCCACTAAGACTAGAATCTTGCACTCATTTTTTTTAAACCTGGAAGCGTTATCCACTAGTCAACTTGGCCACGATAGCCACCTCTTTTGTAATATAACAAGAGATGCAGAGTTTAAAAATCACCGGAACCGGTCAACTATTTCGAGACTTACATACATTTTCAGGGTAGAAAGTGGCTTGAGTCTGTAACAAACTACATAAATTTTTCACCACGTACTATAACTACCACTTAACTTTAAAGATAATATACCTAATTCATGCTGCAAAGATTAATTCAGTTCACAGAATTCTAATTGAACCATATATCCGAATAAGCTGTGTATTGCTGAGCATGGACACTTCACTGTGCCAATAAAGAATAAAGTACAAAGAGATATTGAAATCCAAATAAAGTAAGTAGTCAAGTGTCATTTTCAGATCAATACAAGGATTATTTCATATCACGTATTAAACAAATCTTGCACTATTCAATTAAATCTATCGATCTCAGTAGTGTGCATAAGATCAATTACACATTGTTGTGCATTTAGGTGACTGTGGATTTCGATTATTCGCAGAACTATTAGTTAAAACAACACATAGGTCGATTATAACTATACCATTTGAAGTTTCTAAATTTAAAAATTTCTTTTCCTTTACATTTGAAAATAAAACATCGAATAGTTCAATGGCCAACAGCATAAAGGACTGTAATAGTCAAGAGAACCGTTTAAAACAGTCGAGGTATAAGCTATGAAAAAATAATCAGTAATGCTTATTGAAACGATAACAGGTTAAATTATTGGCTAAGCACTTCATTTGATCCCTATTAATTCGATAGGAAGATGTGAAAACAAGATGCGTAAACAAAACAATAAAAACACATGAATTTCATACATTTATTCCCTTTAATGAATTTGAACAAAGTAAGAACTACAGTTTTTGCAGAATAAAGCGGTACCATCTTTTATTTCGTTGCCTCCTCGTCAGCTGCTTTCTTTGCCCTGGTAAGTGGATATTTTCATCTCTTTCATCTGAATGCGCAATTTTGAAAGTTTCCATTGTGTATGATTATTATTGTTCGAAAGTGTTTAGTATTATATATATATATATATATAATTAATATATGCATATATTGACCGATTGATTTTTGTTTAAAATGAACTCTGTGCAAGTATGTTACAATTGTTTTTGTATATACATTTAATAATGTCTTTGCCCTGTAAGCAGCTGACGAGAAGGCAACGAAATAAAAGATGGCACCACTTTATTCTGCAAAAACTGTAGTTCTTGCTTTGTTCAAAAACACATGAAAAGAAACCGTTAGACTATTCGCAGACTATTGTGAATAAAAACAAATGCAGCTTACCTTTACACAACAAATAGAATTTGTATTTCGATTACGACATTTATGTACAGTGGAGAATGAGCCTTTACCAATCTCTTCTAATAAAACATAATCCAGTGTGAATGGTTTATTTTTAACACCAGGTAGACCGGATAACCGAAGAAAACATTTGGCAACTGAAGGGGTCAAGGGTGGTAGATCTTCTGGAATGTATGGATGATTTGTTCGATCTTCATGGCATGGCAAGAAAGAAAAGCAGATGAATAATAACTGAGATGAAAATTCCACAGTAAATGCCATAGACTTTAAACACTGTTTTAACAGAGCTGAGCTTTGAAACTGCATGGAAATGTATGGTATCTTGAAAAGTTAAATGGAATATAGGTTTGCTAATCAGAAAATGCAACACCCCTTATAGAAGAGATATGAAGAATATAGTGTTAATAACTTGTTAGTACCTTTATCCCCGTACTAATTAGTCTTTTATGTCTTAAGTTCACTAAAAAATGGTTAATAAAAATGCAATAAACACCTAAATAAAAGATATGGCTACAACTTGACACAATTATAGGGCTAATTTACTGATATTCCAGAGCGTGAATACACACTTAGTCGTTTCATAGCTGGTCAAATGAGTAAATTACATGCATTTCACGAATCTATCAGTACTTCATTTCTCATACTTCAGCCTAGGTTAACTTAATCTGTCATTGAAATGTTTTATCCAATTTGTCGAATCTTAATGCTTCATTCTATTCAGAAACTCCGTTGGAATCTAATGATCAGTCAATTCTACTTCCAGTCAGTTCGCAATATAGAGCAACCAGTAACTACCGCAAACAGTAAGCATCATGTTTACATTCCAAAGTGATCGGTTTAAGAACCTAAAATTAATTAAAATCCCTATAAAATCGGAAAACCTGAATATTAGATGGTAACAAGTTGGATATCATGAAACAAAGTGGCCAGATTCAGAGGTAAAAGCGGATGCTCATCAATACAATTGGTTGAGCTGAAAGAGATAAGAATCCACGGGTCATTAGATTCTACCCAGGTGGCTGAATAAACAGCTGTCTCGTCTTGTGATCTATAGGTCATTCAATTTGATCAGACCTTGGGAATACACTGTTGAATAGCCCGCAACTAGAACGAAACAGCCGTCTAGTACTACATGGCTTTCAATAGTTTTCTAACTGACGTGTCTGTTCACAATGCATTTTACACTGACATAAATCGAAATCCCTACAAACTCGAAAAATAAGGACAATAACTGCAAAAATTAAGGTACGATTTGTATATGATACACGAATTAATAATACACTCAAATCAATTTGTGTTTTGTACAAATTTTTAAAAAAATCCCAAAGTCAATCGCTTATATCTAAACATTTTTTTAAAAATTTTAGTTACATTTTAAATAAAAAGTCACACTTCCCATTATAATGAAAACACTTATTCCTAGACCATACACCCATATATATCCCACGTATATCTGATCGTTGTCCATACATTCAATCACAGGAAACTTAAATTTGGTATAAATAAAATCTATTGATTCTCACATAAATGGAAGGAAGTTGTTCTTCTAAAGTTAATAATAATAATAGTAAGAAGAACAAAATTTATGGATAAAATATTCCTATTACAGGAATAGAACTAATCTCTGCATCATGCCAATGAAAGATGTATGTAGGTGGTGAAATAATTAGAGAGAGACAGCTGAATAGATTCACCTAAATATTAACTATAAACGAAAAAACACGCAAATGAAATGAATCCATGCCAAATTTTAGTAGTCACAGGATGTCCATTCATACAAATTAATGAAAAAATTAAATGTTGCCAAAATCAAAACAGTAAGACCTTTTCCCCTTTATATCGTCAAGAAGATGAATAATGTAGACATAGTAAACATACCTTCTTCACGTCTAGGAGTATTATTATTGTTATTAGTAGTAATTTTTCCTTCATTTGAATTTAAATGACCCATATTTGCACCATTCAACATTTCATTATTGTTATTATTACTACTACTAGCATTATTACTGTTTACATGATTGTTATTATTGGCAGCAAAAAAGTTAGGTTCTTGTTCTGTAAAAAATCCTGGTGCTACATAGCTGAATTCACGGAATAACGCGTGAGCTGATGCACTTGCCGGTGGACATGGTGAATCTATAAGTTACAGAAAAATATTAAATTTTGAAACACTTAACATATATAAATATATAATACACAGGTTAAGATAATCACGGTAACACATAATATGTCGTTTATAATGAGCTTTAAAAGACTGATTACTGAACGAAGAATATTATTTCTGATAAATTCCTTGTCAGGTTCTATCTACATTTATATGACTGTTATAATTAAAGCACGATTGTTGTTATTACCAACACTAATGCTGTTTTTAATTACATTTAATCAGCAGTATCGACAGATTATATTTCAAAAGCATCAAGTAAGAGAGGATCATCCAAAATGGAGCAGTTTTTTCAACTCCTTTTATCTTCCACATCCCCACATTCCACTGTTTTCTGAGTTCAATTCATGTTTATGCAGTGAGTATTATTCTGTGTTAAGCTTTGTGAAAATACGTTTTACACTTTAAACAAATCAGAGTAAATCCCAATGCTGTCATCTTAATGAAATGGCGATTCTTTGTGGTTATATGCGAATGAAGAGATTAAAACTAGGAAGAGGTGACTTTTCAATTCTCTAACATTTCGTTACACGGGGAAATCCGTCCAAAAACAAATGAAAGTCTTCAGCAATTGAGAATATTTAGTAGATAAATGAGGTGATCGACACTATATGTTGACCCTTCCGATTATTTTAAAATGCAGTAGACGAAACCGTAGGTTAAAGAAATCTAATATAACAAAGATAAGTTTGACAACTAAAACAAGAATCAAATATATTAAAAATATACAACAATTATTATAATATTATTATACCCTACGGTTCCGAATGGAACACAAAGTTTCAACAGAACATCTCCATTATGTCCTGTTCTCTGTAATTCCCTTCAGCTAACTCTACGATTGCGCATAAACTTTTTATCTTCTCCTCTCACAGTCTCCTCCATGTCACCCTCGCACTCCAACCTCACTATTTTTTCACTCGGGTGATGGCCTGGCGTGTGATGCCATTCAACAGTCTTCTAAGAATGTGCCCGATCTGTCTGCATTGTCTTCGGAATAATTATTGAGCAATAGGTCCTTAATCGGTTAGTTCTCTGTTGCTAATCGTTTCCGAACGACCATCTGATCCCAAGTATGGAGCCGGCTGTTGGAAATGCCTTTTGTGACGCACAGTGCAAGTCTATGACCCATACAGAAGAACTGACTGACTGCACATTGGTTTTGAAAACCTGAATTTTGTTCTATATGGTGGGTATAGAGGATTTCCATACTGATTTCAGGGTCTTGAAGGCTTGTATCCCCTTTCCAATTCTGTTAGTTGAAGCGACGCTTCCTAGATAAGCGAAGAAAGTGACGTTTTTCGAATATCTTCCGTCATTAGGTATTGCTGCTTGTTGTCATTCGTTGGTTTTTTGGTTATCTTCATGACATTCGTCTTCTCTGTTTTCACTTGAAGTCATGTCTTTGCTGCCTGATTCTTCTGCCAACTTGTTGATTCTCGCCTGCATTTCCTCGAGTTTATGTGACACCAGACATAAATTATCCGCGAAATCTAGATCTTCCAGAATCATCTTATCAGTCTAACGTATTCCTGTATTCTCGCTTTTTACAGTCTGAGGTAATACTGTGGTGAGAGCTGGCTGCTAGCCAAAATTGGTAGACAGTAATTGACGTCAATGTTTATGTCCCCAATATTGGTCGTGAGAAGAATGCGAACAAAGACTTTGCGTAGGCGGATACAGTTAGCATATGGATGATCTGACACAGCCACAAAGAGATGCAAGGTTAACTTTCTGTGAGAAACAACCAATCAAAAGACTATATTTTCTACTAACAGTAATCTACAATAATGTACATTAAAATCTATAAATATGTGTTGATTTTCCTTAATAAACGCTCTGTTGCTTGGTCCTTGTCTTCTGTTGTTAAAATACAACAAAGTTGACCAGACTTTTTTGACTAGCAATGCAAGACTTTCAGAACAGCTCAGTCACCACTTCTACAGACTCTTGAACACATTTAGTACTAACATCTACAATATGCATTTCTATATAATCAGACTTTTTAATTAATTTCTAACAGCCCATCTCTCAACGTCTCTGAAATGCATTCAAACACATAGATGAAATTGCTTTTCTACTTAACATTGTATATTCAAGTGTTAAATGGAAAGTACCGACATGAAAACTCCTGATCAAACTAACAAAATTTTTTTTTCAAATATTTTAGAATGTGCAAAGGACGTCTCTACTGCTTAAGGAAAAATCAACTATTAACATTTCATCAGTAGTTTTATAAAGAAGGGAGATGGATTCCACATCAATAAAATTTGGCAAAACGTTTATACATCTATTTAAAAAGAAAATAATTCAAATTCACTTGCTGTTGTTGTTAATAAATACTCAGTATTTAAATAATTTTGATATACTTCCATAACAATCTATCAAATGGTAACTTCGACCGATGAACAGAACAGTCTAACAGTCAATCACACTAGCGAGTATACAGTCAAATCAACATTGTAGCGTTTACAAACTATTATTATTATGCTTATCTTTTCATTTTCTTGAAAATATTTTTATTCAGTGTCAATATATGCAAATTAATTATTACTATTATTTATTATAATGTATGCATACTGTTGAATGACGACAAAAAAAGAAGTTTACTATAGTCACGTAATTGTTTCGAGAAAATTGGTAATTTTCTCTAGTCTAATTTAGGAGATAGACGGTGAATATAATTCTATAAATTATAAAAGGATAGTTTCTAGATTACTAATTATTATAAGCAGTAAACAACAACTTATCAAAATTTAATCTTTACTGGATCATTACGGAGGTCACTGAAAACTTAATCCATCGAAACAGTATCAAAAAAAAAGACTAAACGATACGTCGATGATTCAGCTGTAGGATGCTCGCCAGTCACGCAGATGGTCTCAGGTTCAATCCCCGGTTGAAGTACTCATTGACCTCGCTTAGTTGATAGTAGGCCCGGTTAAATGGGCAGATTAGGTGTTTTGGTTAGCAACCTCATCCAGCAAAAAAAGCAACACCACTGCTCTACAGAAACTTCACAGCTCTAGCTTGAAGTCCTATGTTCCACTCGGAAGACAAAGGAATAAAATAATGAATAATATAAACTATAGAGTTAGAATTCGCAACTCTATCAATAGAACGCCTAGATAATGATACAGCTATCACCGGTTTGACTCCTATAGCAGAAATATTTTTTTTTTAATAATTAGTCATTACGTGGACATTTGTCACAGCTATCACAGATACATAAAATATATTGATAAACATTTTTACGAAAATATGTCACACATATATCTATTCATTGATAATAAGGGATGAAGTAAGAAAAACACAACAGTCAGTGGAGGATAAAATAAGGGGTAATAATTTATTTAATTGGTTTTTCTATCCTATTGTTTATTTTGCTGTCAGAAGTGTTAAATTAGGGTGTAGACGTTCGAACAATAAATTGAGTAAACAGAACGACATCTATCATCTTATTCTGCTCGAAATTTAGTCATTGGTTTGTTCCACCTATTGTTCTACAGGCCTTTTTGGAGGATCTAAATCAAACATATTTACACTTATATGTAAACATGGCACTACTAATAAGACATCAAATCAAACACTAACTTACAAAAATTCCTGACCTTAAACTACTACGTGGTTGTTTGATCAACAGAAAAGAAAGTTTTAAATTAATTAAACGAAAATGAGATTAATTCACCACAGTAATCTACGTGCAGAATTTAGGCACTATATTAGTATATAATTTCAATTATTTCGTTTGAGTTAGATTGTTGAAAATGAATTGTTCACTGGATGACATTTTAAACACAATTTATCAGTCCTAATCATATCGAATGAGAAATTCACAAGTTTAAATTTTAGCTTTCACAGTTCCAATTCTTCTGCTTCGTTTCTACAGTAGGGAGACAATGTTATACAATAAAATTGCAACATAGTAGGCAGAAAGGCATTCACTGTATTAACTGTCCTATTTATATCAAAAGTCCAACAATCCTTATATATCCATAAACATTACAACTTGTTATGATGAGTTTCAACAATCACTTAGTTAAAAAAAAGTCTGCTTAGAAAGTTCATAATACAATCTGCATAAAATACTGTGAAGTATTAATAAGACGTCTTGGCATTTAGAATGATGAGTGATGAAGTCAAGTCTTCGTGGGAATGCCATCGCTTACAAGGGAGACAAGTGCATTCAGCTGACGAGTTCCAAATAGACCAAGACGTACTTCCTGAATTCCACTGCTTTCCAAAAACCAACCAAAGGATATATATATATGAAACAGTTTAAAAGTGAACGCAGAACACTTTTTTGTTTTAACAAACGGGACTAATCTTGTTTACAAGGCTTTCAATAAAACAACATGTTGCTTATGTACTTACAGTGTTATGCAACATAAATGTACTTGCTAGCAAGTTGAGAAAAATTAAAAATGAACATTATGTTAAACGAGATGAAATTTGGACTATTGATTTTGTCTGAACACTATCCATATGCTGAAAAGTTTATAAAATATTAAAAGCGCAATAGTCACTACTACAAACCATAGTTTATTTAGTCAAAATAAAAACAAATGATTACTGAGGTATACTATTTGATTAATTAGGGCATTTTCAGGATTTAATTTGTCTTAAGCTTGATTACGGATTGACATCAGTTAAATAACCACTGGAAACCAGGGACTACTAGTCAGCTGTTTCGTCTTACTTTGCGAATCGTCGGCAGTATGCATACACTGAGGCTTGAACCCAGGGCCTTTCGAGTTACAATTCAAGCCCACACACCATTCAGCTACTGGGACCCGACTCAATAATCAGCCTATGAATTCTGTATTCTACCAATTGGTGGTTTTAACACGACTGGCACCACCCAATGTCATCTGCGGCGAGTACTTTTTCGCACGCCCAACCGGGTGGACACCACTAGTCACGGCTTCTCACTAAAAATCCAGGTGGCACGGTGGTTAGGACTCTCGCCGACCATGCACATGGTCCGGGGTTCGATTCCCTGCGGACGCACACCTGATATCAATGGTCGACCTGCGAAATTTGAACTACCGATATCACATGCTGAAAATTACATACTTGTACCAAAAATACGGTGTGAAATTAAGCTATAATCAAAGAAACCTAAAGCCAGTCACTAGCAAGCGACAGATTAATTTTTGAAGAGTTAGTTTGCAGGGATTTGATCTGTCATTTACTTGCACGTAGATAGACTTTTTAAATCCTAATTTGTCATTGTCAACTGAACAAAAACTTACTTATTTCAAGCTGCAAATTTATGCATTGAATAATAAGTTCTTAATGGTAACAATCTCAATTTTGCATATTTCAAAATTTTGTTGCAAAAAAGAAACAGAATTTATTGACTAATAGGTTCAAAAAATGTTTTGTTCAACATGGTTTCTAAAAACTCAACATCTTTAGCGGTAGCACTTAACATCTAAGCAAAAACTGCATACCAGAGAATCTGAGAATAAGGAATAAAGAAATTAAACGACAGAGTATTTATCGCTCAGATACTTAAAAACACGAAGGTAGTTGTTTGTACACAAGTTGAGGTTTTTTTTCCCTGCAACTTTACCCTTTTCTAAAACAATCATGGATGATATTATTCCGGTATGTAGCAGTTTGCGGGAAATATGTTTGTAATGAATGTTCACATACAGTGAATATATCATTCTGTGAATGTAAAGTTAGTGCAAATGGTATGCCTACATGCAGTAACCTTACTCTGAATATTGCAGAAATTAAAACTTATGGTATGTTAACATTCATTGTAAGTGATTTTTACCAAATCATTCAGTTTGTCTAGGCTATGCATAAGATTTTTGAATAAGATTTACAAAGAATTGTACATTTTGCTACAGTCTTCACCGCTCCACATTGAAGATCAAATAGCTAGTGAGAAAGAATTAGCATCAAGAAACTATGAGAGGACAAAATAATCAAGAACTTATAGCTTAACAGATATGTAGAAGAAAGAAAATGGAGGTGGATCACACACACTGAGGAGACCATCGAATGAAATCATCAAGTGGAACCCGAATAGGAAACAACGAGTTGGGCGTGCATGGGTAAAATAGATGAGATCGTGTGAAAAGGATATGAAAGCTTCAGAATAGTCATAGGGCCAGATAAAAAGCACTGGAGAGAACAAGACAAAGTGGAGATGTGCTGTTAAATCCCTATGTTCCAGCAGGAACCCAAAGGAACTACAATAGTATTATAGAATCAAATCGCTATTCAAAGATTGAGTAACACAGTTTTAGAAGTGGTGTGTAAATAAATTATTTGCAAGTACATGTATATATATATATATATATATATGTATATATATATATATATGTATATATATATACATATATATATATATATAATTCGAATCAACTACACTCATTTGATTGGTTTGTAAAATTTGTACATATAGACATAATGCCACCTACCGTGTGGTGTACGAGATGTATATTCTGGATCAAAATTTAGTATCTCATTAATTGACGAACACGGAGGTTTGAATGGAGGTTGAATACGACCACTTAACAGATCATCCCAGTTGATTGTAGCAAAAAATTCATGACTTTTTAACTGATCGAATCCATCTGGTCCATGACCTAGATAAAACACAAGCAAAAGAATAGAGAAATGAAAAAGTAACTAGGACAAGCATACATATAATAGAAGTAGTAGTAAAAATGCAAGAAATCACGATGAAACAAAATTCAAACCACAGAGTGTATTGCTAATAACCAACAGAAGTATTGTGGATTGTACTTTACATTGGCATTATGTTTCAGTAAATACGCGCACACACACACATATAGGGTTCAGTGAAATGATAATAGATTGTTGAGGATAAGATGAATTTACTCTATCTCATAGGGTTTTTAACATCTGCTTATAGGCTGAATAATAAAATAATTAAGTAATCATTGTGACAGAAAATTGGCGCGTCACCAAAAGCATTTCCAACAGCCAGTTGCAGACTTTTATTAACAGCTGCCTTCGCTGGCTTCATACTGAAAATCAGATGGCCGGCCAGAAACTCTGGAAACAAACAGATCAAGGACCCATGGTTCAACAAGTAATCTTAAAAAATGGAGATGGATAGGATACATGCTGGGGAGACCGTCAAATGACATCGCGTGACAGGCCATCACTCGAGTGGAACTCGAAAAGGAAACGACGAGTTGTCCGTGGGTGACATGCATGTGATCGTGTGGGGAAGAGATGAAAGCTTATGGGCTATCGTGCGGGGATGCTGAAGAGGACTGCACAGAACAGGAAACAATAGAGATGTGCTGTTGAAGCCTTATATTTCACTCGGAACCAAAAAGAATAGTTCATTTTTATAAAAATCGAATAAAAATTCGAAGACGATGTGTCAGTCATACAGAATGTTAGAATAAATAAAGCATGGTCAAAACACATTCTTGTACTCTAAGGAGGAGACTAACCTAAAATGCAGAAGTATATTTAGAAAGGAGTGGAGGTGATTAAGTAATCATCAGAAGGGTTATTCAAACAGACTGAAACAGATCAATGATAAACAAAGATGTTAATGGAATTTTTTACGAGGTTAACAGATACAATTAGATACCAAGTGACGTCATACTAAATGAAATCATGAACAATTAAACTGAATGAATCATTAGATGGTTGGAAGCAATCGGCATGAAGACTTGTACTTAGGGTTTCATGCTTGTTGGCACTCACCAGTCAGCAAGGCGTATCTGTAATCTTGAAGCAACACATGTCCCCTCTGAGATTCGAATCTATGTCACTCAGTTCTGCAGACAGAGAAGTTAGCACTGAAATATTACATCTCGCGACTGACCTCCTGTAGGACTGCATTAGATAATTTGATTGAACACCTCCATTTCTTCCTGCATATTCAGTGCACAATTGGTTCCTGCTTGGTTCGCTCCCAGAGATCCCTCACTATTGCTGATCTTTTCTGACTGGCCATCTGATCTTGAGTATTCAGAGAAGACAGATGTTGATGAAAGTCTGTAGTTCGTTCGAAGTGCTCTTCATGACGCGCCAAGTCTCTGATCCGTATAGTAGCACTGACTGACTTCACATTGGAGTTGAAAATCCGGATCTTATTTTCATTTTCATGCTGAGTGCTGTTGACCTCCACACAGACTTAACAGAAATGAAAGCTTGTCTTGCTTTTCCGATCCTAGCTTTGATATCCTCGTTAGTTCCGTCCGCCTGTAGTTGAAACGATGCTTTCCAGGTTGGTAGGTAAAGGAAGTTGCTTCTTTGAGATTTCTACCATTTATGTTGATTGTTGCCTGTTGCCATGATTGCTGTTGCTGTTGGCCAGGAATCTTCATCACCTCTGTTTTCTCTATGTTCATCTGAAGTGAAGTCTTACCTTCGATGCCTCTTCCGCCAACATGTTGCTTTTCACTTGTATATATTCCAGTTTGTGGGAAATCAGACAAATATCATCGGCGAAGTTCAGATCCCCCACGTTTTTTGTGTGGGTCCATTTTATACCTGTTTCCTCGTTGCCCAATGTCTGTCACATTATCCAGTCTGCCACAATCAGGAAAATCATTGGAAATAGTAGACAGCCCTGTCTTTCCCCTTGCTTCTTTTCGAAGATTTCCGTGGGTTTCTCATTGTGGATTACTTGTCGTGCAGCATTGTCGTACAATTGTTGGACGGGGTGAATAATTGTTGGTGGCATGACATAGTGGCAAAGTAGTTTCCAAATCACCTCTGGATCGACGCTGTCGAAGGCCTTTTCAAAGTCGATGAAGTTGAGATAGAGAGCTGACTGTCATTCCAAGCTCTATTCAGTGACGACACCCAGTGTTCAGATTTGATCGATGCATGACTTGTTCCTCCTGAATCCAGCCTGTTCCGGTCGAAGTTTGATATTCAGGATGTGTTTGATTCTCTCCAGGATGATGCGGCTTAGTATTTTGCTTGGGATGGACAGGAGCATAATTCCGCACCAGTTCTTGCATTGACTTAAGTCTCCTTTCTTTGGCAGTTTGACTAGGTAGCCTTTCTTCCAACCCGCAGGTACCTTGCTCTCTTTCCACACCTCCTCTAGTAGTGGTGTCATCAAGTCCGCTGATGTCTCTGGGTCCATTTTCAATGCCTCGGCTGGGATTCCGTCTGGTCCTGCTGCTTTTCCCGTTTTTAGCATCTTTATGGCCTTCAGGATTTCTGTTTTCGTCGGAGGGTTGATGTTCACTGGTGGTTCTGCTTGTGCTGTTGGTATTATTGGGCTTGTTGTAGTTGGCGGTCGATTTAGAATTCTTTTGAAATGTCCACCCCAGTGTTTCCTTTGCTCCACCTCTTTGGTGAATGACTTCCCTTTGTCATCCTTCACTGGCTTAATTTGTGTCGAACGTTTTCCCGATAGGAACCTAGTTGTTCGGTAGAGTGTTGTGAGGTCTCCTTTGCCTGCAGCTTGTTCTGCTTCACTTGCCATAGCTTCATAATATTTTCTTTTGTCTTCCCTGACATTTGTTTGTCCAAGTTAAAAGACAATAATCTCTCTGCCAATCAAACTTGATGGGCCCTATGATCATAGGTATCTGCGTTCGACCTCTCATGTTAGGTGGTATAATAGGAGGAATAATATGGAGGTCAAGCATCGAGTGTTAAGTAAGAAGAGAAAACCAATCGATCAGGTTGTGAAGCTACATAGATTGACATGGCTATGACATGTGTTACGCATCCCTAGCCATCAACTACCTCAACATCTAATCTTAGCTGACATACAATCAGACTGGAAAAGACCTAGTGGTAGTCACACCAAAAAATGGAATCAGTCAATCAAATCGTTGACAGTTAGTTTTGAACCAAGTAGGGAGGTATAGACTAACTGCCTGGTTGGAGTCCTTGGGATCCTAAGAACCAATGAAGGCTGCAGATAATTGGTGATATGGCTCAAACTCATTGTTGTCAGTAGCGTAGATCCATTCACTCTTTGTGATCTACCACGTTCAATAAGACCCTACTGTTTTTCCATGTTACTACTCTTTCTCCCTCACATTTCTGTTATTCATTTTTCTTTTGAATCTATTTTTTTCAATCTTTTGTGTGCGATTCATGGATTGTGGCAACCTGAACTGCTGCACTTCTGTGCAATGTTGAGACCAGTCAGCTAGTCAGTCAGTGGACCCTATTGTCAACTTTCAAGTCGAAGTTATCTACTAAATTGGCGGTCAGATGTTAGCTTCGAGGGGAATATATCACAATTATACAGCCTACATGAGACTTAACTTAAAAGTGATCAATTTGTTGAATACTTTTGCCCCATAACTTTTTCGATGGGATTTAATTCAGCTAAAGTTGCTCACAATAACCCGGGAGCTTAAATTAGCAATGGTCATTAAGAAATAAGAAAAAAGGATTATTCTGAGAAAGTTCACTTAGCCACGAGTTCATTATCATAGCATCTATAAATGAATTAGCATAAACAATATTTATATATATATATATATATATATATATATATATTAAAAATTAACAATAAGTGAAAATATTCAAGTGAAAATGTTCAAGTGAAATAATGTTGGTTATTACATACATATATGAATGACAAATCGATTAGAAAAATTTTATACAACTAAAGGTTAAAGCAAAGTGAAAAAACCACATAAATAAAAGCATGAATATAGCGTGAGCCTTATTAATAGATAAAGAAAATAATTTGTGATAATGAGAAAGGCAAATATAGTAATGTGTCAGGTCAAACTGGATAAGACAGCAAAAAAGAGGAATGCAATGTTGTTATCATTAAGAACAAAAATATTGCAATTTTATAACAGATACCATCAAGTACCATGTGTTTAATATGATGCATTAGGTTAAAATTTATGAAACAGGCCGTAAATATTCTTCTGCCTTCATATAGTGTATCGTCAGTTTTTTTCTTATACTGAGGAAATTCAACCTGTAAGAAGGATGTATTAATGGGTGTACGCTCTCTTTTACTCAGTAAAGTCACAAAGTGCTTACTAAACCAATGTGAAACATTCATCAATGTTTGTCCTGTGTACCTAGCTCAAAAAGAGTCAGTTAACATATAAGTACACATTGAAGTGGACATCGGATTTGTGGGAATTTGAATAATTATTGAGAAAACTTTCTTAAGAATAAGGGACACTAGTGAACGGTTGGTTTGTGTAAGTTGCTTGTAACGCAAAGTTATAAAAAGCCGCTTCACTGATCTTGTCAAGACTAAAATTTTGTATTACTTGTCTGCTGTTAGTTCCCACAAATCTCAACAGACATCCATTTTCCATGAAGTTTGGTTTCAGTTATTTAAGTTTTTTTCTCCAGCATTGTTTTCACTGAAAATTCTCAACAGGCATTTTAAGAAAGAAAGAATTAAATCCCCTATTGCCTAAGAGAGAATATATGTAAAAAGTAGTGAGCTGTTAGATTTAAGATTATCTATAAATCGATCTTTACAGAAATGCAACAGTTGTCTCCGCCAGTAGTTCATCAAGAAATCCAACAATCTATTACATTCGCAAAACTTGGGCACTATAACACTAGTACGTGTATTCCGTATTAACGTATTTATTGGATATATTACAAAGTGAAGCAGTATTATATACTGGATGAAATTTCGAACACAATTTATTGCTAATAATCATGTCATAATCAGATCAAGAAATTCAGGAAATTAGTGCAACAGAAATCTGTATCTAATTACAAAGGGAGCAGTAAAAAGACGTTATCGAAAACCAATAAATCAAAGTGGACTATCAATAAGTGTTCGAAAAATGACTACATTTCAGTGTACCAGTAGATGGGATGAAATCTATAGATTTCATTCTAATAAGAGTAATAACTCCGAATGCAACAGATAAAACAGCTAAAAACGAAGTAAACACTTAGTGTATGCATGCACTAAAACGTTAGGAAAGACGAAAACATAACGAAACTAGAAGTGGAAGCCTTAAGCAACATTAAGAATAACAAGGATAGAATAATTACTAAATCAGACAAAATCACTCCTACAGTGATATTAGATAAATCAGGCTATTTGGAAAAAATTATTACCTGTTTACAAATAGGACCGTATAAAAATGACAATTAATATTATTTTGAACAGTAAATCATGTTAGAAACGTCATTCAGTAAACAATACTGTCTCTTTATGTGATATACTTTTTAAACAAGTGACTGTAGAAGCCAACGATCCAGTTTCTTTCTAGATGAGAGTTTCTGAGTGTCTTATAGATGTTTTGTCCATCAAAATTATCACCATGCATGATGAAACCATTATACAATTTGACCAATAGTTGACATCAGTTAGAGAAGCATTGGAAAACCTAGGATTACCACACAGGTGTTTCAATATGGTCTGGGATTCTTCATCAGTGCGTACCCATGGGGGTTCGAACTTAGGACCCACCAATGACAAAGCAAACTCGTAGACAATTCAGCCACTGGGATGTAATCCAATGGCACATGAAATCTAACTTCTGCCAGTTTGCCGCGACCTCCAGACAGTGTCACAGGCGAGTAACTGATCTCTTACCTGACTTGATGGCCCCCGCTGGTTATGACTTTTCACCAGAAGAAGAGTCCCAAACTAGAAAAAAACACCTGTCTGGTGCTCCCAGATTTTCCAGTGCTTTTCTAAGTCATATCAACTCGTGACTAAACCCGTAACCAACTGAATCCCTGCCAACCAACATGTGAAAACCTTTTCAAACATACATTTTGGAAAAGCTTAATCGTTTATAACTTGTTATAAGTTTATTATTTTTCATCATTGACTGGAAAGCATCAGCTAACAATTGAAATTATGAATAATCCATAAAGATGGTACACCTCTGCATATAAATCAATCTGTTAGATATGAGACACATTAAGTGTGTACTAAAGTAAGGGATTTTTTCGGATATAATTTTAATATTTCTACATGCTTACCATAATACCTTCATCCTTAAACACTTTGGTAACCTGACTATGATTTGTTTTTTACCTCAATCAACATTATCACATTTCAACGCTGCCACTGTAACATACTAATAAAGAAATCTGTTATGCTCCATTTTAATTCACATATACAAGTACAACCAAATGGATGGAGAAGTGCAGTTGTAGATAACATTTTCCCTATTCGCTGAAACGTTGAAGAAAACTGAGATGCTCAAAATATCATCAAGAGTGGGTACAACAGCATTGGGCAGAAGTTAAACACTATTTAACCTTGCCTAGTTTATTAGTTGGCTAGTTTTCTAGCCGATCCCAGGGAGAAGGCCATCGAACGACATTACACGCTAGGCCCTCAAGTGGAACACCAATTGGGAGAGACGAATGGGTCTTCAGTGAGAGGGTGACATGGATGAGATCGTGTGAGGAAGAGATGGGAGATTATGGGCAATCGTGAACCCAGATGAAGAGGACAGCACCAAATAGAACAAAGTAGAGATGTGTTGTTGAAGCCCTATGTTCCAATCGAAACCCGGGGAAATAATATAGATCATTAATTTATACTTCTGCAGTAGTTTTGATTCCGTTATATCAATGGATTCACATAAGCGACAACTGATCACTTTAATGAAAAAGGTGATAAATGAATCGGTAGTTCTCTTCCGTCTATATATAAAACACATTTGACTGAATCCATCATCGAATAATAATCGACGTAGTTTTCGAATATCATATGTATGGATTGAATTCACGTGAACGAGTGTACAGTCTGCCCACTAAGTAAGCTAACAAATAGGCTTTTGGTGCATTTGAGTCAAAAATTTGCGATTAAAACATCGAATGGATAATTTAGTCTTATAAGGGGATAAATATTCACTCAAATAGTTGTAATACTTTTTTTAATGTTTTATCTTTACAAACGATGCATGGCCCAAACATCTTAAGGCAGTTAAGTGTGTGCTTTTTTCATATTTCAGGATAAATAATTTCAATCAGTTTGACTGTTTCAACTGATGAATAACGCCATTGGCAATCTGTAACCATGTCAGCTAAAAACAAATAGGAATTATGATCATCTAGGTATTGATGAAATTACTTGTGATAATCATAGGCTAGCAACGTGACATTAGTGTAATGGGGGTGGGGTCATCAGTAAAAAGGAAAAGTATGTTGTGAAAGCTATCGAATCAACAAAAACACCGGATTGCCAGGCTAGTGCTGGTTTAGAAATTAAGTTAAAAAAAAACAGCCAGTAAACCATGTCTTTACTACAATAAATATATTCTGCCACAAGTCACAAATAATGAGACAGATTATAAGTAGATAATATTTCACAGCTAAAGTTAAAATTTGCCATAATTATTGATCACTGAGAAAACAAAATTGAAATGAGAAATAAAAATTATTTTTCTGCCTTTCGCGAGACAAAAAACAAACAGGAGAAGTAGACCAATTGCAGTTAAAAAGAAAAAAAACAGAAGAAAACATAGTGAGAATATAAAATTAAAGGAGATTAATTCTTGTGAAATACAAACTGAAATATGAAATACGCAGTAGTCATTATAATGAAAAGTAGTGTATTCAACTATGAAACAAAAAAAATTAAAAAGTACACTTGGATTGATGAAAATCGACAGTCAATTGAACGAATGGTAATCTAACACAGATTACGGTCCAGTGATCAATCAGTAAACAAACAGTCAGATATCTACTGTTCTTCATGTCAATTATCTAATCTAAATGACACATCCCTGATAGGCACAAATTCAGTGAAAGTCACCAAGGAATATACATGTATATCCAGTGTGGCAGGAGATACATATACGCAGTGATTTACTGCGAAAGTTAATATCAGAATGAGAACAGAATGAAATGGAAATGTCTTGCTGAAGCCCTATGTTCCACTCGGAATCCAGGGAGATAATAATAAAAGATAAATAATAATAATATCAGAATTCAACTGGTTCGTTTCAAATCAAAAGTATGCATTTTGAAATAGACATAAAAAGAAGAAACAAACCCACAGTTTTCTTACCTAATCGGTTTGATGGTGTTCGTTTGAAAAGGGCACGTAATAAACTCTGAGCTGAAGGACTTAGAAATTGTGGCATTGACAATTTAGCTCTAAACAGATAAAGAAAAGACAAATAAACCAGTTTGTCAAGTCAGCTAAAATCGTTATCTTAATGATAAATTAGCTCCAGAATGAGTGATTTTCAAAAAATTAACTTCAAAGTAGACTTTTTCACCACGAACTTATAACTTCTGCCTACTTATGACACAGAGACTCCACCAACTGACAGTGTTGTCGGTTTCCACCCGTCCTCATATTCTCTTGATACAAGTTAGAATTCAGAGATCACTGCATTTCGTCCCAGTGGCTCAATGATCAAGGGGATCGCCTCATGAACTGAGGGTCTCGGTTTCCATTTCCGATGGGATCAGTGGTGACTAATACTGTTCCTAGAGTCCTATATAAGAACGAAACAGCTATCCCGCACTTCATGGTTGTCAAAGATTTTTTTCAATGAAATTCAACTTAAAATCAATCAAATTTCTGCAAACAAATACTACTTAAAAAGTGACTTTTACAAAATAAGTAATGGAATAAGATAATCAGCGTTCAGGTTATCAGTAAAACAGGGGAAAATAGAGACAGGAACCTGAAGATTCAGAGTCAGATTTCTTTAAGTCATTTATATTTTATAGCGAAATCATGTGATTAAATATATTGCAGTTAAGTGTAAGGTCTAAGGATCAAACAAAAATGTCAACCATTCTAGGAATCTGCCCACACATAGTGATTGATATTTCAACTTATGAGAACGAATAGAATCGTATTCATCTGCTTGTTATGTTAAACGAAGTAAGATACAACAATGAAAACCGTGGTCACTCAAGATCACTGCAAAAAATATTATTTACTAAGTTTCGAAAGCTATCCCGCTTTTATTTCAAACCTATGCTATTATAACTTCAGTATGCTATGATATGTCTAAATTGAAGTTCATTAATTTATACGATCTTACATTAAAACGAATCCCAAGCCTTGATAAATACATTTTTCCTGGACGACTAATTAAAGTTGTCGCAATAACAAAAGAGCAGTAAATTTTTTTATTCAAAATGATAACAGGGCAAACAGAATGAATAAAATGTAAACCGTATACTGGTAATCTTTTCTATGGAAACTACTGACTTTATTCTTATTATAAACTCTATATTATAAAAAAGAGGCTGCAAAACGATATAGAACATTTTAGATCGTCAAGACAAACAGGAAGTCAACCGGAAAAAATAAATGTATGGAGGGCGGTAAAACCCGTCCAACGCACAATACATAAAGGTCACAAAAAGTACTGGACTTGAAAACAAGACACAGGAAAGAAATTAAATATTAGGATTTATAATAGGAAACTGTAAAACCACTAGTTCTCAATGATATCATTTCTCTTACTTTTCCCTTATAATAACAACTGCTTGGTTTTGTTATTTAAAGTGTCTTAACTTACTAATTAGTAAACTAATGCAGTTCAAATACCTGAATCAAATCACTTAAATACTGTCACATCGATGGCGAAAATTCATGTAATGAATGATGATTGGACGTAAAGTGGAAATCTGGACCGCTAAATAACTTGAACCGGTAGCACCCCAGGATTAACCATTCTAATGTTCTGTCAAGTGAGAACAGATACAACTATCGACAAAGTCACTATGTCACTGCAGTCGTCAACAGCAGTTAGTCAATCAAAGGCCATCCTGAACAGTTTCCCTACCAATTAACAACTTGTAAAATTATATTCAAGAGAAAGTGCAATCTCATACTCTTAGAATAACCAAAACCACTTACTGATATGACGTATACAATTAATGGTTAGCGACTTGTATTTATTTTATATTACTGTCAAATTATTTGCTTCATTTATTAAGAATGGTACACGTGTTAGACAGTTGAAGGTATTTGGCAGGAAGCCCTGGACTTAGGTCTTGTGCTTATTTGCACTCGTCAGGAAGGTATGTCTACAGTCTTCAAGAGAATGATGTCCACCTCCAAGTGTTGCAGGAAGAGACCTTAACACTGAGCTACCCTAGGTGATAGGATTTAGTCACTATCAAAACTAAGAAGTACACAGATGACATAGGTTTCTCTCTTTTTACTAATCGATAATATAAGTATGAACACTTCATTCATAATAATAATAATAACAGTTAAAATGTAGATTTATTACAGATCCATTCATTTTCATCTTCAACATGTCAACAGTAAAATTCTCAAATTTTTACAAAATTATGATGTCATCCATCAACATTTTTATGCATGTTTTCTTTATATCAATGAGACCGTATTTTTTGTTGTTGTTTCTTTCTGCCTAGTTTTGTTCTTGTTTGATTCTTTTTTCCTGATAAGATTAATCACTGATATGTTACACATTCAATATATTCTTAAGAGCAAACTGAATTTAGAAAAATTCACTTTTACTACATATGAAATCTTATCAACTTCTCTCTGTATAATAAATTATTTAAAAGCGTAAAGGAAAACTTTTTTGAAGGAAGGATCATAATATTATATGATTAAATTTGTATGAGCGTCGGTGGCACAGCGGTAGAATGTTCACCAATTACGCATGTGGTTTGGATTCGATCCCCGGCCGACACACTCATTTGCCTTGCTAAGCCAGTAATAAGACTGGTAAATGGGGAAGGTTGGGGATGAAGCTAGCAAACCCATCTTGTAAACATAAAACAACACTACTACCTTAACTTCAAAGTCCTAGCTTGAAGCCCTATGTTCTACTGGGAACGTAAAGGAATGAAAAATAGGTGTGAAGAATATATACTGGCTCGCATGATATTGAACAAGTAAGTATTAGGAAGGCACTAAATTCCCTGCGTAGATAAATATTATCCTTTTAATATAAGGATAAAACTTCGGCAGTGTGGTAGAGTATATTTCCATTATGAATAAAATTTATTTTGATGATAAAGTCACACAGTGTTATACAGTAATATTTATTGATGACGTTTAGAGCACAATTTATTTATCAGGGTGATCATGAGATGATAATGAGCGATAAATTGTGTTCGTAACGTCATCAATAAGTATTACTGTATAATACTGTGTAGCTTTATCAAAATAACTTTTATCCATAATGGAATTATCATTTTGAATAGAATTCAAAACCTACCTAGTTCATTTGCTACAAAATTTTAATCAAACAAGATAGCTGATCTCTTCGTATAGATTTATATTTAACTCGTGAATAGATCAAGTAAAGTAGTAATAATAATAATAACAAAGTAAACAATGGCAAACGAAATATGTTGTAGGCGTACAAACTTATTCCAGGTAGTAACAACTCTTTTTGAGCATATACATATATATACATACATATATATATATATATGCAGCAAACACAGCTCTAAAAAATATCAAACAGTAGAAGTTCCTGTTGTCGAAACATAATTAAATTACACAACTAAACTATTCAAATAACTGAATAGTGCTAATATAGTTGAACACATAGCCTATTTTGTATTATTGATAACTAGAAATATCAGATGATATCAGTAATTCAAAGACGTTTAGATTAGTGTTATACTAAGTACTATTTCATTCTCAGTAATTGACATCAATCTTACACTTACAAAAATGCAGCTTATTACCAAGTTGTTTTTTCCAGGACCAGACTAGACAGTAGTCAAATCATTTATAAATCGATAAGCTAAAGATAAAACTATCTCTTTTCGGCGAATTCATTCACTTAGCTGTACACTCGCAAATATATACAATTATTTTGTGTGTGTGTGTGTGTGTACATTAGGTTTGTCAAAATCAAAATCAAAATAACAGTTAGTGTGGGTCGTTGATTACATCATCAAAATAATAAAGAAATTAAAATGTGTGATTAATAATCAAAGTTGTAACTAACTGGGGTGAAGATTGGTAAGATGTGAGTAGGGTTACGTAATATAGACATGTTTAGAAAGATTAGATGTTATTGAAGGAGTATGGAGACAATTATGAAAATAAACTAGATAATAGGTGAAAAGATTGAATGGGTTAGTTACTAAAAATTATTATACGAAGATTGCAAAAAAATTTGATAACAAAATGTTGATGACAGATAAACTTGAAATTAAACCCACGGTAGTAGGAGGGGGTGGAGAAGTTTCTTTTGTGTGTGTGTTAATCGTGTATTATCAAAAAAAGGAAATTCCTCATTGACAAATTAACCAGGAGACTTACTTTAAAATCATCTGCATTGTATCTTTACGATTTTCACTATGGAAAGGTAGCATGCCAGTAAGTAATTCATACATAAGCACACCGAAACTCCACCAATCAGCCGCTGTACCGTGTCCATGTCTATTAACAACTTCTGGAGCCATATATTCCACTGTCCCACAAAATGAGTACGTTCGATCGCCAGCAGATTCAAAAATTGACTCTTTAGACAGACCAAAATCTGTCAGTCGTACATGACCTTCTTCATTGAGCAAAATACTTAGTTATTTGAATTGAAATAAGAAAATAGACAAGCAGAATTAAACAATTTGTAAGATGAAGCATTTATTGGCTGTTGCATACATATGTGATTACGAGTTTAAAAGTAATGACAGTGTTGGACTGGAACGATCTTAGCCGTTCAGATTCACTTGCACTATAACTTGAGAGTGAAGAATATGCATCTTGAAGGTTGGATATTAGTGTGAGAGTTTTGTGTGAGCTGTGTTTTTCTGATAATACATATCTTAAAATTTTGGAAGTCTACGCATAAATCACTTATTCACCCATGTATCTTTCTAATTATATTCTCGTCTTTTTGTCCCTGAGATCAGTACTGTTTCCGGGACTTTCAAGCATTTACGATTAACTTTGTTCAAAATACCTTGATACAAAATTTTAAATTAGGAATCTGATAGAATCTTCAGTTATCACCTGTATTTGTAAGGCTTTTATTTGGCAATAAATGAAGTCAATATGTGGCCTCCTATTCAGTAAAAATGTAAAAGTCACAGTAGAAATGAAATTTCAGCATGGTTTATCACGAGAAACGAGTCAAACACTTGATTCGACTTTGATTTTCTTCAAAAATCAGGTAAATGAAATGTCAAGCTTTTTTACCTTTGAAGCAGGAACATTGCCTTTGATAAAATAATCTGGCGTTGACTAGGTTAAATTTCTGTATTCACTGAAATCTTTTAATGCACTGTTTTAATTTGCTAATATATTTCTTAGATAAATGCATTTAAACTTAAAACATGACACAAACGTCAATCACTCTCGAGGGACGATACAAGTATAGTTCTAAAAGTAATGCTCTATACTCTCATATTTCATTACTGCTTTGTGATATGAGTAATGCGGTTATGCATCCGTTCACCGTCAAATAGCATCTAAGCATTCATAGCTGGCATTTTCAGCAACAATAAAGTAGTGTCGACAATTTCAGTCCAACCTAAATAGAAAACTCTGTGATATAGTGGATAGTCTCGTTTCTTACGATTAATTACCTGCTTTGACTTTCCTTATGAAATAAACTTTATTTTAAGCATGAAGAGTCATTTACTTGGTTCACTTCGCTCCGTAACCAGAAATATAAGCAAAATGCCCTTTCGAATTCAGAGAAAACCAAATGTTAGCGATTACCGTATAAGCATAATATTACCTAAACTGTATTATAGCGGTGTTTATCATTGGGATTTATTATTCGTTATTCAGTGATTTAGGTCTTTAAAAGCAATGCAATTTAACAAAGTAGCAAGCTATATTTACAGACGAACAAGTTCTGAAAGCTACATGTATACAGCCCTAGGAAGTTCTGATTTTGAATTTGTCTTGTTGTGGTTGTTATTTGGGTTTTCTACTGGTACTGAACACTAAAAAAGCCATAACTAAACACAGTTTGGTGTCTTCGACTTCTCACTTATTAAATCTTAGATTACTTTTAACCTACAAACAGGATATATCTTAGTGTCGTTTTACACATATATGTATATACAAATATACGTGTATACATACGAATAAAAACGATAACATTTAAGACCTATTACAGGTTTCACAGCCAAATACATAGGCCACAATAAACAACACGTTAAACTTTAGAGTCCTAGACATTAAGAACTAATTCTACCAACTACACTTGGAATATGAATCTGTCTGAGTGTCATTTGATTCTGGTATTTTGGATGCAAATGATAACACGTAGTCTACCTTTCAAAATATCACTTCACGACCTCGCTTCCAAAAGGAGGAGAAAATCAAATAAACACAAAATGTTTCCCTAAAGCACATTAGTTCATGTTGCCATACTGCCAACAAAGTAAAAATAATTACTACAACAGACTGCATAAGTGTTATAAAGAAAATAAACGAACGAATATTATTGCAGATTCCAGAACTTCGGGGGTGATAGGCAGCAAACTCAATGATGTAAGTGTGAAATATCCTGAGACATCTTAACAAGAACCCCAGAATATTAGCCTGTACCATCCTTGGGATTTAAGTGAAACAATCTAAATCACTCTATATACTATAAATCAACAACCAAACACTAAATAAACTGAAACTGTATTTGTTTTAACATCTCTTGCTTTTAGTTATTATGAACTTACTTAAATTAGCACCACTTGTGGAAACCTGAGTCAGTCAGTATAAAACATATTCCGGTCACTTCAACTGATGGAGGCGAACAACCTAATCATTTTGCATATTTTTCCTCTCTAATGTTACTTAACAGGTAACTTCGTATGACTTGAAATAAGAAACTTATAGTCAAAAAGCCTTGATCCATTTATGTCTCCTACTCTATACAAACCATGTTGTACAGTTGTAAAGTAGGACACAACAAATCACTTCATATGTAAACATCTTCTGGTGAGTCACTTGATATCACGTTAGAGCGGAAGATTACACAACATGACATTTTGTTAGAAATTAGTTAATAAAGGATGTTGTAACATCCCAAGCGAATTAGAAATTTGAGGAGACCAGTCCCATAGCCAAATAAGTGCACTGTAATAAAATTGGTTAAAGGACTCTCGGCTCCATACTGAGTCTCAATAACACCATATAACTTAGGATCTTAGACGTACTAGGCAAGACATGTATTTTTTCTCATAAAATGATATGAGCATAGGTCTTCAATATTCTCGCATGACTGTCCTGTATTTACATGCAGTGAGCAGCCTCTCATTTAGGCTAGTCAATAATTTCTTACCAAAATTTGTGAAATATCAGTGTTATGAATTTAATCAAGCATTAAACACATCTATATTCAGTAGCTATATATAAGCCAATATAAAGTTCAGTGATTCAGTCAAAGTAGTACACACTGTCATAGGCAAAAAATTATTTACAAGTAAATGTTTGGAAGTTATGCGAAATACTCCTGATCACAACATATTAACTAAAAATAATTTTCCCAAGTATTCTTACTTTTCGGGCTTGAGATCCCGATAAACTATCCCATTGTTGTGTAAGTAATTTAAGGCCAATGCGATTTCAGCCAAATAAAACTTCACGTCTTCCTCTGTAAACATGTACTGCAAAATAAAATATAACATGAGATTATACAGTTACCTCCTTTGACAAACGAGAGAAAAGATCACCACCTCGAAGGAACTCTAAAATCAAGTAAACTTTTCCCTCAGTTTGGAAGGCTTATATAGTTAGGTTAGAGCAATGAACATACCATAATGCAAGTCTACTATAAAAGGATGTTTAATTCTAGTTAATATGTCTCTTTCCAACTTCGTCCTGATTCTATCACGCACTACAATTTCGATTACGATATCCAAATAGCTAACCTTTCAGCACTGCCTTTTTAAGGACTTTCATCGCATACAGAGTACCTTTATCACTGCCATTGTTTTTCCTAACCAAGAAGACCTTAAGGTAATTAGTGATTAGTGAAGTTCAGCGTACCTTTCCGAATGATCCCTGACCAATAACATAAAGTAAATCAAAGCACGAGGCGTCAACTTTCTCTGACTTTTGGGCTAAGTTCTCAATATTGACTTCAACCTCAGAAACGTCAACCTAGAAGTTATCGAACATTAAAATTAAACTAACTTTTTGACACGTCTCATCCGGTGACTCATCTATAGAAATACACTTTGTCTTTCTATAATTTTATGAATTTGAAGGACTTACCTCCTCACTAATATCACTTGCCTTCAGAAATGGTTGACCTAAGTGAGCAAGCGGCATCTCATTGGTGTTAATCAAACCTTCGAAACAGCGCACTTTTTGCTTTCAATGAACTCTAACATTGAGCATGAGTAAAATATAAACAATATCCAGGTATCGAGGGTTGTTGTAAATTCAACATGGGTTTAAATCCGTCAAATTTTCGGAAGATACGTCATCTTGCTTTCAAATTCTGCAGTGTTACCTAGAATTCCTGAATATCATTTTACCACATGTTCGAATTTAAGTGACTGATTTTGTTAATCAGAAAGCCTCGGATGAAGTAAGGAAGCTGACTTTGCTTTTTAATGTGCTAAGTAATTCGGTACATATACTGAATTGTATCCATCTAAGGATGCTTCCTTAGAAGAAGTTGGCTAACGAAACCAACGTATTCAACCTGAAAAGCAGTACGCTAATTCTACTTACCTTGATGAACCGCCGTAGATCCCGTGGCTGCACACACTGATATCAAACTTCCAAACAACTGTGATTTGCAGGTCAGTTACTAGAATCTCGGAGAGATGCCTAGGTAGGGGATCAAAGGGAGAATCGATTGAAAGATCACATTATAATTCTTCTGTGCTTTGTGTGAATTCGCCATTCAAGTATGCATACTTGTGCCCATGTTAAAACTCCGTGTTACAGCTTTTCTAAAAAAGATTCACCATAATCGAACTTACAAGTAAGGCCAGATATAATGGCACTAAATAAAGTTCTTGCGAAAATGCGCCCCGATGTCCTTATCCAATGCTTCGCCGCTATAGAAGGAGTAGAGCATTTATCTACGCATTCGAACACAATAATATCATTTTCACTACATTGTCATGAAAAAAGTAGGAGTGTGCACAGGACAGCTGCACTAAACCCGTCACACTCAAACACACTGCATAAACCATTCTACTCTAGGTGAGCTGCCGAAAAAGTCCTATCCACCTAAAGAATATCAACATACCAGTCGAGGAGAACAAGAGTTTGTCGATAGTCGGCGACTGACAAAGAAACCTATGGTTTCAGACATCCATAAATCAGGTGTCCGTTAGAAAGTCCTGCCGACAGTTGACGTTTCAGGAGGAGGAAAACTTGAGCACTACCATACTGTCTTTGCGCAGTTCGCGAATATGACGGTGTCGAAGGTGTTCAATTCTGCAGTCAACATGGACACATCATCAGATTATGGCCTCCCCAAGCTATTCCCAGAAGAAAGTGCCATCACCACGCCTACTGTGCCTGCGTTCCCCCGTCCCCCAACGCTGCAGCTGTCATCAGATTACCCCCGCTGGAAGAAGCGCATCCAGGCATTCCTCAGCATCTCTCCACCAGCCCACCATTTCCTCCATGTCCTCAATGCCCTCTCCGAGGATGCCTACGCGCGTGCCGATGCTGCCGGGTTCAGCAACACCAAATCCATGCTGGAAAACTGGCGAATCCTGAACAACTGTTTTGATCTACAATTGGGCTCCGACCATGCTCTCCTAAAATTCTTCAGCTGTCGACAATTATCCAGGGAAAGTCCCCTAGAGTACTTCCATGCCTTACAACTTATGGCAGCTGGGGTGGATGATAATGAAGACCTCAACCACGAAGATCGCCTGGTGCGGACACGTTCCATCGAAGGGGTTTTGCCCGGTGACCTCCGAACGGACCTGCTTCGACACCCTCCCGCGAGCATAACTGAACTGCATCGTGTCATTTTGCGGTTCATGGACGCCGAGCGCGACACTGCAGCATCAGCCAGCAACTCCTTCTGCCCAGTTCCAACGGCATCGACCGCAGCTGCACTGACTACCGTCCCTCGCAACTTAACGCGGTCCCAGAGGCACCCAGATGCTGATACCACCCGTAGCCATTGCCATTATTGCCTACGCTATGGAAAGAAGGCTCGCAAATGTGGCCACAACCGCCCCCGGGAAAATAGTAAGTCCCTTTTTAACAATTTGTCTACCTTTTCATATAATAAGGAACCTTTCACTCTTTGGGGACTTGTTAATGGTATGCAAGTTAGGATCTTACTGGATACCGGGGCATCAGTGTCCCTAGTACTGACATCCCCCTGCACCGGTTGACCCACTATCCCCCCTGTCTCCACGGCGAATGGCGCTAAAATAGATGCCCAAGCAGTCACCAACCTACAGCTACACCTGGGGAACCTAGTAGTCGATCACCGTTTTCTCATCTGTCCCGAAATCACATGGGGCCTGATCCTCGGCGTCGATTTTCTTACTGCACACTCTGCTGTCATAGACTTTTCTCACAATCAGGTCACCCTCGATGCAACGCCGATACTTCTAGACAGCTCTCAGCAACCACCTCTTATTAAGCCCACTCTCACCGTTTCTTCTATTCTTAATCAAGTCTCACTCAACCCATCCGTCCCAGCCACCGTCCGGGACCAAATGCTAGCGTTACTTGGGGACATTTTAGACGTCTTTGACGAGGGGGACAGCCCTGGACGTACTAATATTGTGCAGCACCGTATTAACACTGGTAGCCACTCACCTTTGCGCCAGCCACCCAGACGCATCCTTGTTCATTATCAGCCCCAACTAGAAAGGTTGTTACAGGACACGCTAGACAAGAAGATCATCGTACCTTCCTCGTCCCCATGGGCATCACCTATTGTGTTAGTTAAAAAGAAAGATGGATCTCTCCGTATGTGCATCGACTATCGCAAACTGAACTCTGTGACGAGGCGCGACTCCTTCCCGATCCCTCGCATTGACTCTACTCTCGACGCACTGAGCGGCTCGAAATGGTTTTCCACGTTAGATTTAGCATCTGGGTACTGGCAAGTTGAAGTACACCCGGACGACTGCCCAAAAACTGCCTTCATACTCCCGACTTGGTTGTACGAATTTCGCACCATGCCTTTTGGTTTGTGTAATGCCCCCGCCACTTTCAACGGCTGACGCAAGTTGTACTGGATAGGTTGGTTCCAAACCAATGTTTAATCTATCTTGACGATATCCTTGTCCACGGAAAAATCCCCGGAGGAGCACATAGATAAACTGCGCACTATCTTTAAACACTTACGAACTGCTGGCTTAAAGTTGAAACCGTCTAATTGTGCCTTTCTTCAACAAGAAGTTATTTTCTTGGGTCACCGTATTTTACCAGATGGCATCCAGACAGATCCAGCGAAAACTCGCCTCATCTCTGACTGGCCCGTACCGCAGTGTAGTAAAGACGTTCGCAGCTTCCTGGGTTTAGCGTCGTACTATCGTCGTTTTGTCCCCGCGTTCGCCACTATAGCGTCACCCCTGCATCGCTTAACGGTACAGGGTCGAAAATTTTTGTGGACTAGTTAGTGCCAAAACGCTTTTAACGAGTTGAAGAAACGCCTCATGTCAGCACCCATCCTCGCATTTCCTGACACGCCTCCATCCGCTGGGTCCTTCATTTTAGATACTGATGCAAACGGCGCTTGATGGTCAACAACGGGTTATTGCATATGCTAGCCGTAAGCTGGACAAACGTGAAACCCGGTGCTCCACGACACGCCGAGAGATGCTGGGCCTCGTCCATTTTCTCAAACATTTCCGCCACTATCTTCTCGGACGCCCATTTCCAGCACTCACTGACCATCGTGCCCTGCAGTGGCTTCAAACTTTTCGCGAACCCGAAGGCCAGGTTGCTCGCTGGCAGGAGCGGTTACAGGAGTTCAGTTTTACCTGTGAGTATCGCCCTGGATCCCGGCACGCTAACGCTGATGCCCTCTCCCGTCTGCCACCTTACGTTTCCCCGGTAAATGCTATACTAAATACAGGCCTAGAATTTGATTTGGCAGCACTGCAGGCGGCTGACGCCAACATCCAACTTGTTTACTCACGACAGCTTCACGGGAACGTTAAACCGTCGATTAAAGAACTACAGAGTCTGTCTGACGCAACCCAATGCATATGTGGTAAGTGGGGTATGCTACGCCTGATTGATAACGTCTTGTATATAGTCGAACCGCTATTGTCACCTCGCCTTCTCGTGCCACGTCTGAAGGTCCCGGAGGTAATACATCTCGTACACAGCAAATTGGTCACGCTGGCCAACGAAGAACCGAACACGCTGTCCGTCAACGCTTTTGATGGCCACTACTTCATCATGACGTCACTGAATCCTGCAGAAATTGCGCTACATGTGCACAAATTAAGCAGGCTAATCCAGTTTCGCGAGCACCATTGGTTCCGATGTTAACCGAGGCTCCCAATCACCGAGTGGGGATAGCTATTATGGGGCCAGTCACAGCGTCGAGACGCGATAATCGTTACATACTCGTTATGGTAGACTACTTCACAAAGTGGTGCGAGGCTGTCCCCCTGCAACAACAGGATGCCCTGACGATCAGTCGCGCTTTCATTAATACGTGGGTATCCCGTTTTAGTGCCCTCCTTTACCTACACTCCGACCAAGGCGCTGCTTTCGAGAGTAACCTCATCTGCAATACGTTTACCGTTCGGAAAACGCACACGACGGCCTACCATCCACAAGGTAATGGGCTGGCGGAACGCACCAACAGAACCATCAAGAATCTTCTCCGTGCCTTTCTGCATAACGCTCCGGAAAACACCTGGGACGACGTCCTGCCCCAGTGCTTGCTGGCTTATCGCTCCTCCGTGCATTCCTCAACGGGTTTTTCTCCAGCTATGCGTCGGTGGCACAGTTGTTAGGACTCTCGCCAACCATGCACATGGTACGGGGTTCGATCCCCTGCCGACGCACACCTGATATCCATGATCGGCCTGCAAAATTTGGGCTACCGATATCACATGCTGGAAATTCCATACCTGTACCAAACGTACGGTGTGGAATCAAGCTGTAATAAAAAAAATAAACAGCATATAGACAGTCTGCCATTCAGTAAGGATATTCTTCTACACCAGAGAGAGACACGATAGAATGTCGAAGTGGTCACTATAATAATAATTTATATTTCGTATAAACGGGTAAGTTTACATGAAATGCATGCCATTTTTACAGGCACAATCAATTATGTTACGAATTACAATTGTGAATTAGCATACATTATCACTTTTTAAAAAGGTTGAAATTGTTGAATTATAGTACAAGCAATCGGAACAGATTCTTATAATTGTTAATTTGTAAATCTTTCACGAAGGTCTCCATCGAATTTGAGCGACAACCCATACTTCGTTCCATTTCCTGATGATAGTAATGTCCTATCGATAAACAACATATATTT